GACAGACCATCACGACTTCAAAGATTACTCACGTGACAATTTCGAGAACAAACACAGAAGTGAATCACATTTATTGAACCACCAAAAAATAACACATAAAGGTCGTAAAACCTACACTTGCGACAAGTGCGAGACAAAATTTGAGAGAAAATCGCATTTGCTTGTCCATCAAAGGGCGGTACACGAAGGTCGCAAAGACTTTACATGCGACATATGCGAGAAAAAATTTGCACGAAAATTCGATATGTATTCGCACCAAAAAATGACACATGAGGGTCGCAAAAATTATGCTTGCGACAAGTGTGAGAAGGTTTTTGGAAAAAAAGGGAACTTACTTGTCCATCAAAGGACGGTCCACGAAGGTCGAAGAAATTTCGTATGTGACAAGTGTACGAAGAAATTTGGAAATAAACAGCAATTGCTTAATCACTTAAGGACAGTCCACGAAGGTCGGAAAGATTATCCATGTGATCAGTGCGAAAAAAATTTTGGGACTCGAAGCAATTTAACAATACATCTTAAGACAGTTCACGAAGATCGTAAAAATTTGGCATGTGAATGGTGCGAGAAGAAATTTGGACTTGTATATAAATTGCTGTTGCACCAAAAAATAGTCCATGAAGGTCGCAAAGATTACTCATGTAGTATGTGCGACAAAAAATTTGGACGAAAATTAAATTTGCTTCGACATCAAAAAACAGTTCACGAAAATTGTAAAGGTTTCGCATGCGACAAGTGTGAGAAGAAATATAAACAAAAACCGAGTTTGCTCTCCCACCAAAAGACAGTCCATGGAGCTCGCAAAGATTTTTTATATGACAAGTACGAAAAAAAATTTACGCACAAAGGTCATCTGCCACCAAAGAGCAGTTCATGAAGTTTGCAAATATTACTTACAAGTCAATATTTACGCCGAAAAAGATTCTTGAAATTTTTTAAGATTACGTATGTATAAATTCAAAAAAAAATTTTTCAAGAAAGATTTGAACAAAGCACACCTAATAAAAAAGTGCACTAAGGAACATTTGTGACTCTCATAATTACTTACTTCATTATGTTTCAAACTTACCAAAAAGAGCGAGGCTTCATAAATGTTAAATACTAGAAATAAATTTTGGAATATATTGCCTCTTGATAAAAAAATTTGTATAAATCTCAATAAAGTTTTATCGAAGTTAATTTTCATACATGATTAGAATAACTAACTATATTATAATCATTTTTATCATACTAATATCTTTTTTAATTATGGTTTCTTATGCCATTAAGAACGATTATTTTTAATTAAAATGCTGAATATCTTAATTTTTTAAAATAAACTTGATCGACACAAGCAATACATTATGATACAAAAATTCAAGTGCTTTTCTTCTCATATTTGAAAAACTGTCCAGTCGAAACCTATCTCATGTTAAATGATGATCAAGTTTTTATAAATAATTTATTGATCGAATGATTTTCATTTTAGCACGCTCTAGACGCCAGCACTTTTTATGATAAAGTCAATAAAAATTGATAAAAATAGAAAAATTTGTCCATACAGATTCTGAAGGCTATGAGTAATATCGAAGTCTAGAATTCCGGCTTCAATTTAGTACTATAGCATACCAAATTTCAGGAAAATCTGTAGACTTTGTCCATAGTTTTTTTTAAAAATTCGAAATCTGGCCCATTTATAGAAAATTGATTTATTGTCAGTCATATTTGCATTTGATGATTTTTGTAGAAATTATAATAAGCTTTCGTAATTCCTCGAGAGAATCGTCATCAAGCTAGAATTGTAAACTGGTTATCATATATCAAGTACAATGTATAAACAGATAAATTGGTAAACAATATGATATTTAACGATTTTGACATTGTTATTCGAATCACTGATCATGATCATAGTAAAAATAAATTAGTTTGAATGTTGTATTTGCCAACGAATCAAGTGATGAAAACCGAAAAAATTTCACTCATTTAATTTTTGAGGCACTGATTAGAAGAGTCGATTTTTTCATTTAATTCACCGACTAAAATGGAAAAAAGTGATAAAGAACCCGAGGAAGATGTCTCGGAAAATAATTTCAGTGACACGTTTGTCGTATCAAACGTAAAACAATACGTTTGTGATATTTGTCAGGAGGCATTTACTCTAGAATTAAGCATGATAACACACCGAGACACCATTCACAATACAGATACAAATTATGCTTGCAACAAATGCGAGAAGAAATTCGAGTTTCGAAGTCATTTGAGTCGTCACCAAACATCGGTACACAAAGGCCACAAAGATTTTGAATGTGACAACTGCGAGAAGAAATTTGTGAAACAATCGAGTTTGTCTACGCACCAGAAATTAGTTCACAAAGATAGCAAAGATTTCTCATGCAACAAATGCGAGAAGAAATTCGAGTTTCGAAGTCACTTGAGTAGACATCTAATATCGGTACACAAAAGCCGTAATGATTTTGCATGTGACCAATGTGAGAAAAAATTTGTGAAAAAATCGAGTTTGTATACGCATCAAAAATTAACACACAAAGATCGTAAAGATTTCTCATGCAATAAGTGTGAGAGGAAATTTGAAAATGAATCAACTTTACTCAAGCATAAAAAAATATTCCACGAAGTTTTCAAAAATTATTTATGTGAAGTGTGCGCCAAGAGATTTGATACTAGACCCAGTTTGCTCTTGCACTTAAAGACAGTACACGAAGGTGGAAAAGATCTCCCCTCGAAAGTCAACAAAGATTACTCATGTGACAAGTGCGGGAAGAAATTTATAAATAAATCGAATTTGCTCTTGCACATAAAGAAAGTTCATGAACATCGCAAAAATTACGCTTGCGACAAGTGTGAAAAGGTTTTTAGAAAAAGGTGGTATTTCCTTGTCCACCAAAAGACAGTCCACGAAGGTCGGAGAGACTTCGAATGTGATAAGTGTGAGAAGAAATTTGGAAATAAACAGCAATTGCTCAGACACCGAAGTATAGTTCACGAGGGTTGCAAAGATTACCAATGCGACAAGTGCGACAAGATGTTTAGAGATCCAAGCTCTTTGATCAGGCACCGAAAAGTATTTCATGAAGGTCGCAAAGACTACGCATGCGAGAAATGCGAGCAGAAATTTGGACAAAAAACACATTTACTCGAACATCAAAAGACAGTACATGAAGGCCGAAAAGATTTCGAATGTGACATTTGCCAGAAGAAGTTTGCAAATAAATGGTATTTGCTGAACCACCGTAAGATAGTCCATGAAGGTCGTAAAAATTTCGAATGCGACAAGTGTGAAAGAAAATTCGGGAGTAATTCTGATTTGTTGAAACATCAACGGATAGTACATGAAGGTCGTAAAGATTACGCGTGTGACAAGTGTGATAAAAAATTTGGACAAAAACCGCATTTGCTCAAACACCGAAAAATGATCCACGACGGTAGCAAAGATTTCGCATGCGATAAATGCGAAAAAAAATTTGGACTCAAATCGTATTTATTTGTGCACCGCAAAACAGTCCACGAGGGTCGAAAAGATTATGCATGTGAAAAGTGTGAGCAAAAATTTGAAAGTAAATCACATTTTACGAAGCATAAAAAGGCAGTCCATGAAGGTCGCAAAAATTGCGAATGCGACAAGTGTGAGAGAAAATTTGGGAGTAATTTTGATTTGTTGAAACATCAACGGATAGTACATGAAGGTCGTAAAGATTACGCGTGTGACAAGTGTGATAAAAAATATGGACAAAAACCGCATTTGCTCAGACACCAAAAAATGATCCACGACGGTAGAAAAGATTTCGCATGCGATAAATGCGAAAAAAAATTTGGGCTCAAATCGTATTTATTTGTGCACCACAAAACAGTCCACGAGGGTCGTAAAGATTATGCATGTGACAAGTGTGAGAAAAAATTTGGAAGTAAATCACATTTTACGAAGCATATAAAGGTAGTACATGAAGGTCGTAAAGATTACGCGTGTGACAAGTGCGAGAAAGCATTTGGTCAAAAATCGAATTTACTTAGGCACCAATTGACAGCTGTACACGAAGTTAGCAAAGATTTGTAGTCCAATCAAGTGACTTTTATCATGCACCGAAAAACAATACACAAAGCTTGTGAAGATGACGAACGTAATAAGCGTTTAAAATAAATATGAGACTCTGTCAAATTCGAGTAGACATTTAAAAACTGGTCGTAAACTGCTTAGAAACTACTTATAGATTTTGAAGATTACGTATGTGTTCCATTAAAAAAAAAATAGCCAAAAGATATGTTGAAAAAATAATTAATCTGACCGAACGAGTTGTTTACGAAAACTTATTAATCGTACGATTCTAACAAAACTACCCAATATAACTTCGTAACATTTGTAAATCTCACACTTAAATCACTTCATCAAGTTTCAAAAGTATCAAAATATGTGAAGTTTCTTAAATTGTGAATGCTAGAAGTAAATTCTAGGAATATATTAACTCTTGAAATATTTTGGATCGATTTTAGGAATGCCTTATTAGATATAATTTTGTGTACATAAATTAGACGACTTAACTGTATCATAAGTACGTGTTTACAATAATAATAATTTTTTTGTAATGGTTTTTTTTTCAATCAAACCACCCTGTAGTAAGCGACCAAAAGAAAAAGATGAATCAACGAACGTTTTTTTTCTCTTCTTTAAATATTATATTTTCATAAAAAAATTATAGCTGCTCTTGTAAATCGTTAATTCTTTTTTTATGTGATATAAATCTTATTACACGACTCGACAAAGGGTTCTTCGACATCCAAATTATATTCAATATATTGTGAAATTATTGACGCGACTGCAGCAGCGATCCCATTACATGATATTACATGTGACGTACCGTCATACACTGAATGCGTATGAACGATTGTGCGCCTGGATGAATGACTATTTCATTACAATTCCGAAGTAGTCTTGGCGACATGCGAATGCCCAATCGGCGGAGGGGGAAGGATCGCCAAGAAGTTATCACCTCGCTAATACAATAGTGCGTTCACTCGCAAGTAAGTAGCTCGATCCATCGGTGAACAAGTGTTTACAAAAAATATTCGTGAATGCGTATATGGATCTCTGCGTTGGCTACCTGGAGTCACCTAACCTCGAATAATTAAACATTTTTGGCGAATATTAAAAAGTAAAAGAGTAATGGAAGGTACAGGAGACATAGTTAGGTATGAATAATTTTGCGCAAGACATTATTTTTTTAAGCAATCGGTTTATAGAAATTTATTTTTCTGCAGAGTGAAAGAAGAGCCGAAAGATATCCATGTGGATGCAAGCGACGATTATATTTTTGATACAGTGAATCCGTGTAGAGTGAACAACTTTGAAACATTTCCGATTGTTAAATCATCGGTGAGTTCAATTAACCATTTGATTTATGATCTATTTTTGATGTTTTACTATTAAACACTCTTAAAAAATTTGATTTGCAGGCAAAACATAGACATGAGGCTTCTGCGTTGAACGAAAAAAAGGACAAAAATATAAAAGTAGATTTTGAGTGCGTAGATTTTAAACATGAAGTGAAATCTTTATTGACAAACATCTGCAAAACTGAGGATGAACATTGTCAGCCTATTGTAAAAATAAAAGATGAATATCAGATAAATGACATTGATGAAACTATAATCAGCGATTTTGAGTGCAAAGATGTGAAACTAGAAGTGAAGTCTCAAGCGACAACCATATGCAAAACTGAGTATGGTGGTTTTCCCTCTGACGTGAAAATAGAAAACCAAATTCTGACCGATTATTTGAATCACGAAGAGCAGGAAATTTTGATAAAAAACAAATTAGATTATGAAAAACATGAATTACAAGTCAATTCTTGTTTGAAATATGATGAATATGATAAGGGTAAAAATTTCAAACAAACTAATGAATCAAAGTCATCTAATAAATATGATATGCGTCAAAAAAGGTGTCAAGGAGAAGTGAGTCTAGAAACAAATACTTATACGACACTTCTCAAAACTCACATAAATATAGTTCATGATCGTAGCAAACCATATGAATGTACAATTTGTCACAAATCATTTGGAGAGAAAGGACATCTCAATACTCACATAAATTCAGTACATGGTCGGAACAAGCCCTTCGAATGTGAAATTTGTCACAAATCATTTGGACAAAAAGAACATCTTAAAAGTCATATTAGTACAGTACATGATCGTAGTAAACCCTTCGAATGTGAGATTTGTTACAAGTCATTTTCATCCAAGGCTTACGTTACGATTCACATTGATGCAATACATAATCGTAAAAAACCACACGAGTGTGATACTTGTCACAAATCATTTGGACAAAAAGAACATCTTAAAAGTCATATTAGTACAGTACATGATCGTAGCAAACCCTTCAAATGTAAAATTTGTCACAAATCATTTGGAATCAAGAGCAATCTCAAAACTCACATAATAGCGGTGCATAATCGGAGCAAACCCTTTGAATGTGAAATTTGTCACCAATCATTCGGACAAAAAATTACCCTCGATTCTCACATAATTTTCGCGCATAATCCCAGCAAAGCATTTGAGTGTGCCATTTGTAACAAATTATTTGGAACAAAAAGTAACCTCAAAATTCACATAAATACAGTACATGATCGAAGCAAACCTTTTGAATGTGAGATTTGTCGCAAATCATTTGGACTAAAAAATAGCCTCAAAATTCACATAAATGGAGTACATGATCGTAGCAAACCCTTCGAGTGTGAAATTTGTCACAAATTATTTGGATACCAAAGTACCCTCAAGAATCACATAAATGCAGTACATAATCGTTGCAAATTCTAGGGACGTAAGATTTGTCTAAATTATTTGAATGCAATGGAGATTTTTGGTATCATACAAGTACTCTACGTAATTTTTTACACAATTTAAAATAAATGAACATCAATTTTGTAAATGGCAATAAACATAAATAATTGTAAATTGTCTAACTTTTATTTATTTTTTCGTAACTGTACAAAATTCACTTAATTTTCTGTGTAAGTAAACTAAACTATGAACGCGTTATTGTTTTCAATTTAATCTTCTAATTTTAATTTTTAAATCAATCTTTCAACATCCCATTTAGCAATTGAACATATTCTTAAGTACCTATTAAATACACCATACTAGGACAAATACTGTATGCCAAGATCCTTTTAAATAAACTATATGCGGAATGATCTATATCTACAATTCGAAGGCGGTGCAGAATCACGAAACAGATAAATTAATTATTTCTAAACGAATTTTGGTAAATTTAAATCGCGTAGAATTATATAAGTTACACACGCACACAAGAAGAGAAAAAAATAGGATAAGCAGTACTAGGATTTTCGGTTTCTCTTAGATAAATGATTCAAAAATTTGAATAATCATCGTTCATCAATCAATTATTATGCAAACATATGCGATAGCCAAATTTTTTTATTTTTCTGGTCTCATTTTAGGGCGATAGAGTGTCTATTGAGCTAGTACACTTTTTTTTTAAAGAATGAAAATGCTTAACAAATTTTTGGCACTAAAATTCATTTAATGGAAATAAAATATCTAAACGATTTCAGTTTAATGCTAATCAAGGATATTTATTTAGGAATATAAATTTTAGGAAGATACAGAGAAAAACACTTCCAGATCGCTCGACGCAATAAATATCAAAAATGAAGAAAAAAAGATTGTATTTCCACTCTGCCTCCGCGCGTACATTGGCCATTTAAATTTGCCCCGAGTTTATGTTATTATACGGTGCAATGACCCGCCCGCTGCCCGTGAACCTGACCGCGTGCGCGGAGGAGCATCGCTTGAATTTTTTAAGAGAAATCACGAAAACTCGTTGTGGGCACAAAAACGCCTCGACGTACATATACTTTGCTTTTGTATACACACACATACAAACAAGACATCATCTGCGAAATATACATACACGTACACTACAACTCGTTCGAATCTCCTCGATTCCTATAATACGTACACGAGGTATTTAAAAATTGTGAAAGTTCCGCTCGACTGAGTAATCCATCGTTTTTTTCTCTCATTCTTTCGGGAAATATTCATCATGTGTGTGTATTAGAGACAGCCAATTGCCAACCAAAGCCGTATACAATTGTGCAATTTCAAACGACGAGTTGCGTGTAAAAATCGATCCCACAGTCACACTATGTATATCAATATCTATACAGTGCCATTACATCCATATACGTATTCGTCGCCTCCCCACTAGATACAGTTCTGCTGAATGTCGAACGCAATATAAAAAAAAAAAGAGGAAAAAAAAAATTACGGCTTCACGGATGAGCGTATGGATATTTTCTATTAGTCGCGCCGATCGGCAAAGAGAGTGAGAGTGCAGAGACGACGACGTCGACGACTATACGACTACGACGCGTGCATGTATATATGTGCACGAGCGAAAATTGCCGCAAGTGGACGCGTTGCACACACTACGAACTCGGTGCGTTATATATCCCCCGCGTGCAATTTGGGATATTATTGCCTTTCCGGTCGCTGGAGCAGTAGCAGCGGCGGCGGCGGCGGCGGCGGCTCGAGAGCTGCTGTTTTATTAAACTACAATATACTACGAGCTGCTGGGAGTGTTGATAGATGTTGCGTATCTGCTCGAATTGATGCAGTTATTTGCCCAGAGGTGTGCTGTCATATATTTTTTTTCTATATACATTTCTTTTTTACGCGTCTTTTATTGCTGTGCGAGGTACTGTGCGTTTCGATGGATTTTCTATTATTGTATCGCGAGTGCGAGTGATATAAGTGCATCGAAAAAGGCGCGCACACGCGCGCACACGCGCGCACACGCGTGGAAAGCGTGAGTTTAATTGATTTTCTGTAGTGGGTGTTATTTTTGAATTTTTATTGTTCTTTCGATAATATAACATCAACAATTTTACCTTCCCATACGCAACAAAATTTCAAGTGTTTGATGGCCATAAATATTTTTTTGATTTTCAAATTTTAAACAAAACTATAAAACTTATCAAATAGGGTGTTGTCGATATGTTCGATCATTTTATAATTTAATTACGACGACTGATGTAATCCGTCTGTCGACTAGCGACAGGAAATAACAAAAAAAAGGATACCTTCAATCAATCAAATTTTTTTCTTCGCGTCGTGTATGAGCGAAGCGAGACAAAGAGAATAAAAGATGTTTTTCGTTTTCGCACGTGCCCGTGCATTCGTTGGTTCTGTGTTGTTGTCGTATATTCAAAAATGCATATATATGGGCCCGAGAGTTGTTTGCTCCCTCGCTCTCTGGAAATTCTACTCTCGCTGCGCCACACGCGTAGTATAACAAAAAAAAAGTCGACTACGAAAAATGTTTGCTCCGCGCGGGCGAGAGTAAACAAACACTACACGCGCGGTTGGGTGTCATCGGCAGCATCTCATGCGCACGACGCACGCATATACATAAATTGTTATACCGCTGATAATTTTCATTCGCATATATCTTTTTTCATCTGCCGTATGAAAAAACGTGTTCGTTTTACAATATGTATCATAAACTCGTGCAGCAGCAGCAGCAGCAGCAGCAGTAGCAGCGAACTCGTGAATGGAAGGTGCGCGTCACGATCGGACGATGGAAAGTTACTCGGGCTGCAGGCCGCTGCTCTCGTGCCGCTGCAGTGTAGCAAAAAATAAAGAAAAAAGAGAAGTACGCGTGCTCGTGTGTATGCGCCGAATTCTCTTTCACCGGTGTATCGCGAATAAATGCCCCTCTTCTTCTCTGGCAGCATTCGGAGCAGCCACATTATATTATACTCTCGATCGTGCTTCATAATATATATAAAAGGATCGCGTCGATACTATACTTTCGAGCGTGTATACATATAGTAAGCGCGTGGGTACGCCGATGATCGTCGTTGCAGAAGACGCGCACGGACGCAAACGCTGCACCGCGCTGCATCGGTGAGGATCGCGTCGTCGGGGGGTCCGGCGTGGCTGCACCGCAGAGAAGAAGCCAACAACGACAGAACAGAAAAGTGACAATCGCTGCTACGTTTTCACAAATTTCGAGAAATTGTTAATGTGTACCGTTTGTGTGTGTGTGCGAGTGCAGTTGGCATAAATAGACACGGTACGTGAACATTTGGTGACTGTCGCGCACATAGATATATATACACATATCCATTTGCCATTGTTTACGCGCTCTAAAATCCCAGCTGTAAACTGCAGCAGTCGTGCTCCGTTAAAGGTTCGTCGTAAAAGTACGGGCGCGCGCGCGCGTGAAAGTATCATTTTCCATTCGGGGTTCGACGCATCGAGACTCGTACACGCTCGGCAATTGCACAGCTGCAGAAAGGTATATCTCTCTTTGAACTTGGAGGCAAAAAAGTAACTCATAAAATAGGAACTTGGACCCTCTTTTGCCTCCGAGCTCGAATAGATTCCTTTCGGCGCTGAAAAGATATCATTATCGTGTGTGTATCTTCGATCAACGATCTATGTATTTTGCTTTTAATAAGCGGAATATCGTTTAGCTTATTATGTTACTTTCTGCGGTTTGTCGATTGATAAAGTCGTACAGAACTGGGCTGATATTATTCGTATCGGATAATCCGCCGGAGTTTATTTATAATTTCATGTTATAAGCGATTCTCTCTTTATCTCTCTACTCGTATATTATGAGCATTATGTTTGCATATATTGACCCCGCGAGCGCAGCAGCAACGACGACGACGACGACGACGCGATGATCCATAGAAATATAATACACGGCAGTAAGTGACCAAGATAAAAAAAAAAAGAGCAGAACAGCTGCAACTGCGGCAGCGACTCACAGCACAGCTCAAAAGTGGGAAGAGTTTCGCGCGCGCGCGCGGGCGATCGCGAGTCTCGACTCGAACGCCGATCAGTAGTAGTGCATCGAGCGATCGCGCGCGAGAACGAAGAAAATCGTTTTTTGGAGATCGACTCGGCTGCAAAAAGAGGAGCAGCAGCAGCGGCACACGCGCGGTTCGTTGCATAGATTATATATTTCATTTTCCTCGTTGAAGATTTCGTAAGTAATTCACCTCGCGCGGACGCAAAAAACGATCGTGCGCGGAACGCTTATCGTCACGAGCTCGAGATACCGATTGTTTCTTTTTTTTGCCTCTGTCCGTCTGTCTGTTCGTGATACGTTTTGATACATTTATCGAAGTTAATCGTGAACGATGAAATGAACTGCGTATTGGTTGTTTTTGAAGATTTTCCGCGTGTGAATGTGTATTTTTTCGTCGATTAGTCGCCAATTATATATTGTATTTTATTTTGTGTATTCCCGTAGGACTAGTTATGGAAATTTATCCAATCATCGGGGCAAAAAAATTGAAAAAAGTATCCACCGGAATCTAGAACAAAATAACTCGCTGCTGGGGTATTGTATTTGTGTTGCATCGGACAAAAATTCCAAATCAATATTGTCCGAAAAAAAGGAAAGACTGATCGTCGTTTTTTTGGACTCTATATTGAATTAATCAGTTTCCTTTTGTGTCATTTACATAATCTCGCGTATACGCTAATATACTTTTTTTTTTTGTCCTTCGATAATAAATGAGGTTTTAACGCGTATCGCGCGATCCTCTAAGACACTCGACGATAGATCGCGAGTGAAAAATCCACACACGATGCCACGCGTTTATTGGCTCGTGTGTTTGTGTTAACATCGATCATTAAAAAAAAAAAATTTCGCGTCCGCTTACGAACTCGAACGTAATAGAGTTTTTTACGCGAAAAAATGACGGCGTGATTCATAATTCCCGCAATAGGCGACTTTAAATCCATGCCATAATATTTACGTGACTTTTGTTGCTTCTGTACAGGATCGGATCGTCGTCGACAACAGCACGTTGGTATTGAACGAAAAAAAAATCGTAAAAAATGAGCGAGAGACCCGTGGAAATGCTGAAGGAAGATCTGGAGAACGGGCCGAAGCTGGTGATCGGCGAGACCGAGCTGACGTTCGATTTCGACGATCTCGACGATTATCATCGGGACAAGGCGGAGAAAGAGCTGCGAGAGACACCCGAGGTGGTCGACGAATCGATCTCGGAGCTTCGTGCCATGCTCGATGGTGAGTAGATAAAAATATATGTTTCAAATTTTTACTATTCGTTCGGGATTTATTTTTTAAAATTACGATTCTAAATTATAATTATTGGATTTTATAAAAATAATACTTATTGCAAGTTGAATTTTTCACTTTGTGTATTGTTATTTGAAAAATTGTGAATTGTGGCAATCATCTGTCGATGTTCCCACTCTGCTATAGGTGTGAAAAATGAATTTTCGCGAAAATTCTAAATGAGATGCATAATCATCTAAACAATCGAAATACTATAACTCGACATAAGCATTGTTTTTGTTATATCCAGTAATTATAATTTTTATTAAATAATACATATTTTATGCACAAAATAAATACCACGTTTACTACGTGGAAAAACCTATATAAAAATAATTACTATATATTATAGAAAAAGTGTGACATCTTATGACAAAATTTACTAAAAAATTTATTGGAAATATAATAAATATTACGATATCATACATAAGTCTTACTTTTACTGTAAAATATAATAATTTATCCTAAAAATTTAGAATTTTTTCTGTAAAAGTTTCTCCATCTAGCGATAAACTTCATATTAACGATACAACAACAAAAAGTCCACGCACGTTATTTCGAAACGCGTAATCTGAAATAGATAATGTCAATTTTTGTCGACGATCTATATACAAGTAAAATTAGAATGTGGAGCAAAAATCTCGTATCGAGCTCAGCCGCTAATAATGTTATATTGGGTATAATTTTCCCCACAGAGGAGGAAGACTTCTATCTGCCGGTGGACGACGAGTTCCTGAAGCGATTTTTACGCCCGTGCAAGTGGTACCCGAAGAGCGCCTTCAAGCTCGTAAGTATCCACATTATTATCGTCGGCCATTTAAATGGCTAAATATATTCATAATGCATAAAACGCGCGGTGACCTTTCGCTCGCGTAACACTTTTTTTCTCGCGTTGTAGTAAACTTCGTTTTTAAGACCAAAAAAACAACAAGAATTCATGCATAAATTTTCATCTCGACAGATCAAGCGCTTCTATCGCTATCGTCAGAACCACCCGGAATTCTACGCCAACCTCTTGCCCAGCAACGAGCGCGAGCTCCTTTTGTCGGGCTGTCTTACCCCGGTGCCCCGTCGCAGTCAGGACGGCGTGCGTATGCTCGTGATCGAGGCGGGCCGCAAATGGCATCCCAAGGAGGTCTCGCTCAATCAGATATTTCGCGGCACCATCTGCAATCTCGAGGTGGCGGTGTGCGAGCCCAAGACCCAGGTGTCGGGGGTCAGGGTGATCATCGACATGGACGGGCTGTCGCTGGGCCATGTCACCTACTTCACGCCCAGCTTCGCCTCGGCCATCATCGAGTTCGTCTCGCGAGCTCTGCCTTGCAGACTCAAGGGCGTCCACATCGTCAATCAGTCCTGGGTGTTCGACATGGTGTTCGCCTTCTTCAAGCCGTTCCTGCACGGAAAGCTCAAGGACCGGATATTCTTTCACAACGGCGAAAGGTCGAAGATCACGGATTACATCGACGCCAAGGCGCTGCCGAAGAAGTACGGAGGTGAACTGGAGTTCCCGACCAATTCCCTCGGCGACGATTACATACGGTTCTCGCATAATTTCGACAACTACTTCACAGGTATTTAAATTTTAACGCGCTACTCGAAAGCAAATACGATAATGAATTGAAAATATACATTCGTTCTTTTTTTTCTTGCAGAAACCAACAAATACGGTTACTTGGAGGAGTAAGCGCGATACACAGACGACAAAGCTCTACGCTCGTGATTTTTTTGTTGTTGTTGTGACCCAAGTTATATGCCTGTAAATAGTTGATAGTTCTTCGGAGAATAATTATGAAGCGAAAAATCCATTGGGATTTCGTTTGGATTCTAGGTAGACAGAGAGAGAGAGAACACATCCTCGGAAGTCAAAGTCATCGTTATGCAACTATACACGCGCGTGTGTATACGATATTTAAATGTTTCGGTGTACGACGACTTTTAATTTTATTATATACTGTTACTTTTTTTTAAAAACGTAATAATTTGTACAAAACTTAGGTTGGTTAATAAGATATGTATATTAAATAAACACAATTTGCTGAATTATTTACGAATAGAATTTTGTTCTTTATTTCGATTTTTTTTCACGATCGTACAATTTCTTTTTCTTCTTTTTTTTATATTTTTTTTCGTTGTTCTCAACTGAAGATCTCGACGTTTTTAACGTCGAGAATTCGTACTTAACATCGAGTAAGAGTAATTTTTATCACAATAAGAGGAAATCGACCATTTGTTTTACATGGTAATTTTTTTTTTTTTTTTTAATAAATGAAGACGGATTCAAATTATTTTTCCCCGTTGATTTGTATCGTATACAAAATATATGTGTATATTATATTTGAAGACTTAATAAACTAAACATTATTCCGACGATAATAGAGAGAAAGAATATTGGAAATAATACTAATAGTTTGCAATATCCATCGATATGATCTGTTTTAAATTATGCTCGGTTACAAAGATACAGAGCAAGCAAGACACAGACATTTTTTGTTATAAATAGTTATACAGTACACCTACGAATTCGAAATACTTATACTCGATAAGACCCCACAAAAATAAATTATAAACTATTTTCTAGTATAAATTTAAGCCCCAATAATAATTATAAAAAAAGAAACAACATTATATTTACAACGACGTTTTAAATTGTAACTCTAGCAAGCTTACACAATCGAAGATACTTGGCATTTGACTATACAAGAGAAAAAAGTTCTACACTGATAGAAATTTACGAACTCCGTCATGAAATTCGCTGTGGTTGGTTCAAGAATTATAAGATTTCATGAACCAAGACCAAATTTTACTTGGACAAGAACTCTTCATTTTCTTGCTGCATGACAAAAAATATCTTGCCCCAGGTAAAATTTCATCTTGGTTCATGAAATCCTATAATTCTTGAGCCAGCCACAGTGGATATCATGACGGAGTTAGTAAATTTTCATCAGTGTATATAAATCATCCATACGATTTACTAATGTAGGCCCTAATTGTTATATATTGCTCTTTTTCAAAAAATTGCGCTTTGTTACGTATCAAAAATTTTTCAATCGAAAAAGTGGAACACATTTTTCTACAATGGAATGATATTTTGCTGATTTTAGAGACCGCTCAACGGTCGGTATAATAGAGACAGAGGGAGGAAGACAGAGACTGGAATACTTGTGCATTTTCTCGTCGCGTCTCTCATCATTTCTTTTTCTGATAGCCGTAAGAGTTGATAGCTGCGAAGGAAAAAAAATTAAGAAAATTAATAAAATCGATTTACGTAAAAGAAAGAAAGAAAGAAGCGTTGGTCGTCGTCGTCGTACCTTCGAACTCTTTGTCGCACATCATGAGCAGCTCGAGCCACTGATTGCCGCTCACCACGGGTATCTGCAGATTTCCGCCGTAGCACTCGGGCAGGCACTTGGGCGACACGTACTTGTGTAGGGATTTGCGATCCTTGGCGTGGAAGATGATCTGTATAAAAATAAAATGTAAATTAGTCATCGTGTTAATTGATAAAAAAAAGAAAAAAAAAACCAAAAAAACTCACTCTGCTCTTCAACTTTTCCCTCAAAAACGGCTTGAACAGGGCGAACACCATGTTGAATATGTAGGGCTGATTGACGACGTGTATGTTCTTGATCCTCAGTGGCACGGCGTCCTGCAGCCAGTCGACGATCCTCTTGGCGAATGGCGGCGTGAACTGCATGGTCTGCTGCAGCGACAGCCCGTCCATGTCGAAGATCACCACGGCGCCCGCAATCTGCGAGGTGGGCTCGAGCATTGCGGCCTCGAGATACAGCACGCAGCCCTTGTACACCTCGTCCAGGGTGACCTCGTGATGCTTCCACTTCTTTCCCAGCTCGATGATTAGGATGCGACGGCCCAGCTGGTCGCGATTCGGCAGCACCGTTAGTATGTTCTGGGCGAATATGTTGCCCTCGTTGCTGGGCTTGAGGCCCTCGTACACGTTCGAGTGCTTGATCTTGAAGCTGTAGTAGTTCTGGATGAGCTTGAGAGCGGACTCGGGATAGTACTTGCAGGGCCGCAGAAAGCGTATGAGCCAGGCGTCGTTGTCGAGCGGACACTTGAGGTCCTTCTCCTGCTGGAGGAGGGCGCGGAGTTTGGCCACGGACTCGGCTTGCAGCTCGGGGGTCTCGCGCAGCTCCTTGCGCGCGACCTCGGCGATTTCCGCGGACGGCGGCCCGAGCTCGAATTCCAGGGTGAAATTGCCGAGCTGGATCTTGGGCAGCTGCTCCATGTCGGTCAGCATGGTAGCTGTAATCAGATTTATCGGATCGAGGATTAGTACAGGTCAATCAGCTATTGTTAATTGTTTATCGGGTATTTATGAATGATCCATCTTCTGGGGATTTATACATTTGATAAAATCGCGGTATTTCGTCGCACGATTGTTATTTTACAATTGAATCGACGATCGCAGGAATTTCGTAGTTATACCTTGAATCGATTAAAATTGATCGAAATAAAATATAACAATGCATAATTACAACGAACTCGCGTGAAAAGTATCGTGCACCAAACGTACATAATACGATGGCGATAAAGCACGTTGACGCCTAGCCACAGCAGCAACAGCTCGTCTCTCGCTGGCTGCGTCATCGTTTCGTGATATCACATATATTATTATTAATATAATCTACTCTCGTATACGTATGTATGTGCCGCACTTGCTGCATTTCCCATATTGCTGCGCGTTTAAAAATAAAATGTCCGAGTCGGGGGGAGAGAGGATTTGTTTTGATATAATCATCGTCGTTAACCGAGGCGTGCATCATCGTCGATATATCTCTCTCTGCTGCTGATGTGCAGCACTGCATAGCTGCGTTGCAAGGGGCCATTCGCCAAAGTGCCAACGCGTTAGCTTTTTATCGGTGCGGTGCTTTCGCGCGGACTTTCTGTTCCTTTGTTTCGACCGTGAGAGAGAGAAAAAAAATAAATATAAAAACATCGCGATGAGCAACTACGACTCCTGTGATGTAAGTTGATTTCAAAAGTTATTTCTCCTCCTCCTCCTACTTTTTTTCTTGCCTTTTTTTTTTACTTCTACTTAGAGCGTATAGTATCGTTGCCAAGAAATAAGTGGATTGCCGCCGACTCGGAAAAGCGAAAACTTTTTTCCCGTGCCATGAATGTTTGAGCGCGAAACGCCGCGTTGTATATGTATTTTGATGAGGGATCTATCTAGCTCCTGATCTTGATCGATAGTATACTCTTATAAGAAAATAAAAAAGTTTTACGTGTAGGAGCTGAAAAAACCACCATTATCCTCTATGCTCGTTTACAAACATAAATAATTGAATGCAAATGTCAAAACTTCTGTTTATTCGAGGGAAAAGTAAATCGATGAATAAAGCTCTGTACGCAGGGTAAATATTTTCTCAACGCTGTATGATACATTTCGAAAAATGTCAATGTATTGGCTAAACTTTTTTTTACTGCTCATACGTATATTTTGTAACCTAGACGTGTGTGGCCTCGCGCGCGCCCGAGCTACGTACGTGATGTAAGCGAATGGCTTTTTTTTGTGTAATTCAATGTTGCAAATAGAGAAGCTACATGGAGATGCAAATGTGTATGAAAAGGACGATTATTTTTATATATTTATTATATCAAAATTTTGATGAATAAATGCACGTAATGTATTCACGTTACCAGCTATGAGACTCGCGAGTTCGTTGACAGCTTCCGTTTCCTCCATGATGAGAAAAAAAAAACTCGATATTGTATATAAATAAATAATTCAATTTCTTCCTCGCATTGGAACGCGCGAGCCGAGCGCCAAACACGAGACTAAGCCCAAACTGGGCGTCCGAGGATGTATTTATCGTGTTATTATTTTAAACTTTCCATCCTTTTTCAACGAGGCAGAGAGAGAGAAAGACTATGCTCTGCTCTGTATGTATGATGATGCATAACCGTCAGTCGCTGCGAGAACGAGACGATAATTTTTACAAAAAGAAAAGTATAATATACGTGCGCGCCGGGGCGATAAGAGGGAAAGCTCAAGCAGCAGCATCAGCAGCAAGTTATGATACGCGAATTTCAAATCTATCTTTCCAACTTGACGTAGACGGAAAAATTTATCACGTACGCGAGAACTCGAATTGTTAAAAAAAAAGAAGACTTTTCAAAGCTCGTTCGATTATCCGCCGCTGCAGATGCTCGTAACTCTTTTCGTTTATATTCAAAAGAGAATACGACATTAATATAATATGGTTACAACGACGATGTGTCAGGCAGTTTTTCCTCTCGCTGCGCTGCATTGGTATTCAAGTCGGTGTATACGCATATATATGAGCAATTCTCCAAATGAAACGCATTTTTTGAGGTAGAATCGCGACAAATTTTTTTTTCAACCTACGCGGATACGGACCCCCGGGAAATGTTTTTGGGGGTCCTAGGAACCTGTAACCACGTAGGAACCATTGAAATTTCGATAGTGCTTATTTTTATAGCTACTTTTGTGATTTAGAGGACGAAAAATCATGTTTTCTCGTAAATACGGCTAATTACTCAATTTCTAAGTCGCTGAAAAAGTATCAAAACTCATCTAAAAAAAATAACTGACTACTGTGTTCGATAGGAAATTTTCTCAGCTTTCCAATGGTGGTATCAGATTTTCCGATAAATTGCACATTCACCGAGAAAATCACCATCACACATTGAGGGCTAAATATGTCGAAAAATTCAGTACGGAAAAAGTGAACTTTTTGGATAATTGTTGATTTTTCCTTGTGAAAATGAAATTTATCGAAAAATCTGACTACACCATGAGAAAGCCAAAGAAATTTCCTATCGAAAGCATATCTTTATTTATTTTTTCGGTGGAATTACAATGTTATACATGGGAATTTCTTTCACGTTGTTCGCTGTTTTCTGTTTCCGAGCTGATTCAGCGCGGTCGCGAGGTTTTCGGCTCGCTACAATCAAAACTAGCTCGTAATTCCACCGAAAAAATAAATAAAGATATGCTTTCGATAGGAAATTTCCTCAGCTTTCTTATGGTGTAGTCAGATTTTTCGATAAATTTCATTTTCACGAGGAAAAATCGAAATTAAACCTCAAAGATCACTTTTTCCTTACCGAGTTTTTCGAGATATTTAGCTTGGCACTTTTGATGGCGATTTTCTCGGCGAATGTGCGACTTATCGGAATATCTGATACCACCAGTGGAAAGCTGAGAAAATTTCCTATCGAACACAGTAGCCAGTTATTTTTTTTAGATGAGTTTTGATACTTTTTCAGCGACTTAGAAATTGAGTAATTAGCCGCATTTACGAGAAAACATGATTTTTCGTCCTCTAAATCACAAAAGTAGCTATAAAAATAAGCACTATTAAAATTTCAATGGTTCCTACGTGGTTACATGTTCCTAGGACCCCCAAAAACATTTCCCGGGGGTCCGTATCCGCGTAGGTTGAAAAAAAAATTTGTCGCGATTCTACCTCAAAAAATGCGTTTCATTTGGAGAATTGCTCATATAAGATCGGCAAACCGAGGATCGTTGCGATTAGACTCGCTGCAGCGAGTGAGAAGGTGTCATTTGAGCATGTCTTTTTACTTCGCTCCAGCGCGCCTCGTACTTGATCTGAATTTTCCGCATTTATTCATCGCACGCACTCCGTATAATAGATATAATTTTTTTTTTTTGTTTGTACACGCGAATGTAGGTCGAGTCGAAAAAATCATATTAATATGCGGCAATTATATTTATGTACGCGCACGATCTGTTTTTCACCGAGCATCGACGAAAAATCAACGCGCGACCTATATTTTTCAATCGTATATTTGCTTGCGGATAAATAATTGGTTCGTCGATAAATTTGACGAAGCTTTATATGTTTTTCCCTTTTTTTATTTATATTTTCATTGATATGCGTCGAGTTTTGTGCTGTCGTTATTGTTGTTTTTGTTCCAAGTGGAAAATGGCTATTTTAAAAAATTCAGGCCAATCTCTCGTTGAAACCGTGAGAAGGATCTCTTTCAAAAATTTATGGATTTCATTATTGCTCATCGCATAATTAACCCTCTCGACTAATTATCGAAATTATTATTTCAAAGGTGCTTATAATAAGGACGAGTAAATAAACGTCTCCGGAATATAATAACGATCGTAAAAGTTCCAAAGACGACGACGACGGACGACGTGTTTATGATGCACCGCGCGCAGCAAGCAGACGCAGACAGCTATATAAGCGAGTGAATGATAGAAAAATGCTAATGGCTTTTGATCGACCGCGGGCGCGCGCGCGAGAAAAAGTGATTAATGTACGATCGCGAAACACGTTCAAGGTGAGCTAGAAGAAAAAAAAAATTGGCTTCTCCTATTTCTCTCTTTTTTTGTGTGTATCGTGTCGCCAACGTCGATATTAGACGTCGATGCTGCTGCCAGTGCTCAAAAAGAGTCGATCAAAACTTTTGTAAAATTGACCACTCGATATTTAATTAAGAGTAAAAACTCGTCGGAACTCATCTCCGGTGGGACAGGGCCTATATCGATCATTCCATTCATTTTCCTCTTATTTCATCGTAATGAAATACTCGATGTGCGCCTTTTTTTTTATTCATTTTCATTGCCTATACCTATGGAGAGAGAGAGAGAGAATGGCAGAATACACAAAGTGCCCCCCCGGAATCGAAAATGAAACGTTTGTGCAAACTCGGGCTTCGTTTTTCCTTTTTTTATTCATTCATCTCTCTTCGGCTCTCGAGATTGAAAGAATATATATCGATGAAAATCGTATATAGAAGGCAATTGGAAAAAACAGCGCGCGCAATATTTCTCGAGAGAAGAATAAGAAGAAGAAAAAGAATCGGCCGATACACCGTGTGTACTTCCAATATTTGTTCCCCTGGAATTTTGCGCTAATCAAAAGCTTTCGCACGTGGCCGCGGGAACAAATCGAATCTAAAGAAAGAAGAAAAAACTATGCAGATCGAGGAGTTATGAAGAAAAAAAAACTTGATAGTGGAAAAATTATTCGATTCGACGACGCTCGGCGGCACAATATTACGAGGTTCTTTTTTTTTTTTTGAGGCTCTGTTTTTTACACACATCATTCTCGATCAAATGACGTAAAAGGAAGCTCGCGAACACATACGTAGAAGAAGCAGAAGCAGCAGACGATTTTAGTATATTTCCACGACATTTTTCGAAACGCGTCTCTCTCTCATCCATCGCGAATATACATCTTCGCAGCCACAAAAATACAAATGCGCGAAAAACCGGTTCACTATATTCACCCATTCGCGGGTATATGTATACGTGCGCGAGTGTACGTACACGCGAAATTCTGCGAAGGACATTTTGTATGAAACATTTTTATCTTTGTTGTTGTTTTTCGCGTCAACCTGCTTTTGGCATAATAAACTCGCTATAATCGAATGAATTTTTTCCTCGTCCTCTTCTCGTCGATTTCCTCTCGATTAGATAATTGTCGACAAAGTGACGAAACGTATTTATATTGGATTTTCGCACGCGCGCGAGCGATCGAGGCCTTGCTACACATTATTATACCACCGCTCGAAGGCAATGCTCTTTCACACACACTCTTCGTGTGCGTGTGACCTAGAACTTGAAAATAAAAAGGAAAGAAAAGTGAAATCTATATAAATATTGCGAATCGAGAGGTAAGCACTCGTGGATGAATTGACTAGTCACCGTATTATTATGCACCGATACAGTTATGCAACGATAATATAAAGAAAGTGACAAACTAGGAGCCGTATAATATCCTTCGGATGAATGAATGAAAAAAAAAAAAACACATTCGATCATTTTCACGTAACTCTTCTATAAAACTGACACTTTGGCCGCGCGCGTGCTGGGCCGCACATGACGCGTACATTTATCAACGACGACGTAACGGGAGAAGAAGGAGTAGAGGAAGAAAAAAAGAAGAGTCAAAACAAAACTCAGCAAAATTCTCCGAGACTATTATTTAATCGTAATGAATAATACTCACTTATGCTTTTG